GCTACGTTCACACTGCAGTCAAATGTGGCCCAAATCATATTTTTTTTTTTTTCCCACATGTGTCTCAGGTAATGACAGTGTGACCAGCACCAAACCGCATGGAATCTGATCTTTTCAGTTCAGATTTGTGCCACTTTCATATCTAGTCTTAAATCAGACACAGATCTGATGTTTTGCAATACGACCGCAGTGTGAACGGTTATGTCGGATTTCATGTGACTTTTTCATAATCTTTGAGCGACATGCGTCATCATTCTGTGCTGCAAACATCATCTACTCCTCAGCAGCATAGTAGAATTGTCACGTTTGGGAGATCGAAACAGGAACAAAAAACAGGGTGTAGGATCCAAGTGCAGATTTCAATGTGAAATAGTGCAGCGACAGTGACAAAATCCAAAAATCAAAGTGACATAGTAACAAACAAAACAAACAAACAAGGAACTCAAATTGTTTAAACTAGAACTAGACTTTAGCAACTATGACAAGATACAAACTGGAATCAGGAACACATACCAACAAGGACGAACGACGAACTGACAAAACAGAGGATGAATGGCTGAATATATAGTCCAGGTAATTAACGGTAAACAGAGACAGCTGTGGTTGCAAATCAGTATATGAAAGACCGGGTGTGTGCGCGAAAGAATGTATGGATATGTAGTTCTTAAGCCACTGTAGTTCGCTGGGAGTTGCTGGCAAACTACAGTGGCATCTGGTGGACATACACAGTCATGACAAGAATAGCACGTAGGGCAATAACTTTACCACAGAAAGTTGGTTGTTCTTTTTAAAAAACATTTTGAAGGCAAACTGGTGCTTGTTAACCAAACTGGTTAACGATTGGGGCACGAGTTGAAGCTGAAGATGTCAGGGGTGTTGCAGATAGGAGATCCGTGTGCAAAGGATAGGCACTTTCATTTTGAGGAGGAACCGTCTCTCCGAGAGAAAAAAAGGGCAGTTGCTCGAGCACCCCAACCCCCTTCTGCATGTGCCTGTTTTTTATAACGAAGTAAAATTAAATAACCCAAATGGAGATAAACCAACTCTGCCCTCACAGTTCAGTCTGTGGCTGCTCATTAACCCTTGATGAGCTCACTACACCGGTGGTCAGAAAGACGTGCACTGTGGTAGTCATGAATCATCAATGTTTAACGTTTTCTATCACAAGTGTTTTATTTTCGGTCTCAAATGCCGAAATACACATTAGTGGAAGCAGAACATCCTGCCTGATCTCACAAGAAAACATAAGTATTTTTCGTCTTGCCAGTTTAGTGGCTAATTCGTACGAATTCGTACGAGTTCAGACGCACAAAATTGTACGATTTTAAAAAGGAGGCATGGCACCTAACCCCACCCCTAAACCCAACCGTCATTGGGGGATGAGCAAATCGTACTAAATTGTACGAATTAGATCGTAGGAATTCAAACGAATTAGCTACTAAATCAAAAAGTTACGAATTGCCGTGAGATTGTGTTGTAACAACACTTTACAGTTCATGAAACAAACCACGGTTGTCTGTAAAAAGGGTAATAATCATAATAAGCATGATCTGACAACGCTTCATACAGTATACAGTATTGTGTGCATAATTAGACATTGTGTTCTGTCCGTAACAGTACTTTTGTGCATGCGGGTCAGTTTAAGACCATCGTCTGTTCACACGGCAAATATGATATTGCTCACATTTATAACAACAATGTGAACAGCTATGCAAAAAAAAAATAATAATAAATCTGATTTGAGCACTAAGCCTCGCAGTGTGAACGAATCTAGACCCTATGTCTCTGCTCGCTTATGTTAATTAGGAATTTGTTAATGATTATTTCAGAAATAAACTATTCTTTTAGTTCTAGGTTGCCAGTTCTAGCTGGAATACTCAGAAAATATGACAACTTCCATTTGATAAAATTGCTTGTGTTACATATAGTAGGCAACCACAATAGTGTTGTGTTAATTTTTCTTCAGCTTAGTCTCTATTTCAGGAGTCGCTACAGCGGAACATACCGCCAATTATTCTGGCATATGTTTTACGCAGTGGATATCCTTCCAGTTACAACCCAGTACTGGCAAACACTCATACACAGTCATGTTTCTAAGTGTGTGCTGTCAGCTAATGGAGATGGAGAACCAGGACAGGTGTGTGTGTGGTGCATGAATGGAGTTGTAGTTCATATGATGGCAAAACTGTAGTCCAAGTGAAACTGTTAGATCGCTGTTGATCAAGACAGTTACATTAATGTAGGCTCATAAGATATTGACATCTGTTTTTATATGCCCCAGTTAAAATTCCTAACTCTGATAATTACTAAAAGTAATAGTACTTCTTATTAAGGAATCAAATGATTTGTTGTACAGTATCCTTAGTTCTATTTATAACCTTCAATGTGTGTTGTCTCATAGCAGATGACTATTAGCATGTTAAAATATGTAAAATGCTATTATTGAGCAATGAGTAAGTGATTCCAAACATTTGACTGGTGTATTTTTTAGCTTAGATGAAATGCAGAGACATTCCTCTTCATGCTGTGTACTAAAAGGTTCACCGCTTTCAGAACTTTGCTGCTCGTCATTTTTAATGAAAACACTCCCCACTGATTGTCTCATCCATATTCATGCAGAAAGGACAATGCGACACAGGCTACCTACAAACTGCATGTTAACAAAGTTTTAAAGTGTAGGAACAGTTGGAGCATCAGTTGGTTGTGAAAGCTTTTTTGTCTGTTAAATGTAAAATTTGCAGTTATCAAATGTTATATTTTAGCAGTGGGGAATATTTCATGTTTTAATTTAGTTATCGGTATTGTTTCTAGCAAATAAAGACTACATGTGTCTTAAGCCATGTTGTTCATTATAAGTATAAATTTAAGTGTTTATGCTGTTAACGATTCCTTGAAGAAAATTTAACATCCATAGAACATGTTGTGGAACCCCTTAATGGTTTTACTGCGGTACTGTATCTCAGCGAAAGTACCCTGTTGGTACTTTAATTGTGTTTAAGAGTGTAAATCAAGGGTATTAATAAATTATGTTTGTATAAAAGCAGATATTCAGTCAACTCAGGGTGTCAACTGGGTCTTAAAAATTTTTAAAATGTCCTAAATTTCAAAAACGAAATATTAGACCTTAAAAAGTCTTAAATTCACAGAGATGAGCGCACTGGCGCTGTTGTCTTGTGGCTGCAATCACATCATCCAAGTGGATGCTGCACCCCCCTCTTGATTGTGAAGTGCTTTGGGTGTATGGCCATACACAATATATGCACAATATAAATACACATTACTTACTTATTACCTAAACAAAACCCTATGTTTTATATATATATATATATATATATATATATATATATATATATATATATATATATATATATATATATATATATATATATATATATTTTTTTTTTTTTTTTTTTTTTTTTTTTTTTTGCAAAGAGATACAATTTACAACAGCCATTAGACATTTTTACAGAACATTCCAAACATTGTATTCCCTATTCAGGAATAAAAAACTCAAAACAATTACAGTATTTCTCATTATAATACCAGGCCATTTGAAACAATCTTAACCATGCATACTGTAAGTCTAAAATTAAATTATTTATGGTCTTAAAAAGGGTCCTAAAAAATATTAAATCTGACTTAAAAGCCACAGAAACCCTGACACTATTACTCTAATGTTTGGTAGTTGGCAGATAAAAAAGGCAATAAACAATAATGTTACTGAAACAAATGTTACCAGTATGTCATTTACCAAATGTTACCGAAAACGCGGTAAAAATAAATCAGGGCTTTTCTTTTTTTGGACGGCTTTTGTAAATTGTTGCTCGGGTTTAGGGAAGTGAGCAGGCGGGGGGGTCAATCGGTAAAATTGGTTTGTTTAGGGAAGGAGGAGGGCGGGTCAGCCGATTGGCCGGTCGTGCAGTCAATCATCCGGTCAGTCGGACAGCGGCCTCTGGTGAGTTCACGCGAGAACAGTGCGGGGGCGAATTGCACTCGCGAGAGGCATTTGAGGTGCGAAAAAGCGCACACAGCTGCCTCTCGCGGATTTGCAAAAACAAAAACTGCAGCTGTACGTACCTGCCGGGACGTATTTCGCGGTCTCTAGAAACGTCTGTGGGACTACGTTTTCAGAATGAGCCTGGGTTGAAAATGGCACAGTTAACATTAATGTGTGTAATACATGCCCTGCTGTATGGGGCTGAGGGTAATAAAGAATATAAAGATGGATGGATGGATGGATGGATGGATGGATGGATGGATGGATGGATGGATGGATGGATGGATGG